AAATATTTTTTGTTGTATTTGATTGTTCAATGTGATAGAATATTTTATGTGGGCGTTTTATGAAATGCGTAAGAGAATGGTTGAATTTTATGTAAAGGTATTATTTTTTTATTCATCTTATCCACAAGGGAAATCTGATTTGGTGATATATTTTTATTAAGTATATGAATTATTTATTTCATGTATTAAAATGTGATATTACAGGTTTCTACTTGGTCAAGTTCTGAGTTTATATAGTTTTGTTGAAAAATACGTTCAAGATGAAGTGCATATGCTTCTGTTTTGTCCATATCAGTAAGCGCCCACGTACCATCTTTTTTGCTAATTGGAGGTACATAAGCTCGAGATTTTTTCATTTTTCTTGTAGCTTTCCATAAAGAATAATACTAAAAACTGTAGTAGACAGTCCACTTAAAAATGATTTAAATGCTTCATTTTTAACTTCTTTGATTTTCTCACGAAGTGCTTTACATAAACGACTCTATTCAGTTTTACCTGCAAAATGACGGGTAGTGTGCCATTTTCTTCTAGCTCTTCGTTTTTACCAAATAAGTTCTTTTATCTCCGCTGGATAAGTTGTCTCACGATATCTGTCTTTACAAGTTTCTGAAGAAGTCTCTTTTACTACTTTAACAATATTATTAGTTAATTTATGTACTACTGTTTCTATGTCACTTGCTGTTTTCAAACGTACGGAAAGTGTGATAGTTTTTTCTAGAGCCATTCTGAAAAGATCCCAGTTTGTCTGTTTATTTGTGAGAAAAACTTTCCGCTTTTTTAATATTATATTCGAACTTATTAACACAGGAATATGATCAGATGACAAGTCTACCAGCTCTTCTGCTTGAACATAATTAGAAGATATAATTTTAATTATGAAGAAGTCTAAAAAATCAGAAATTTCAACTTTGGTTTTGATGCAAAATGGAATTTTTTTTGCTTTGTGTCATGGCAAAAACGCTAGTGATAGAGTTGGTGAAACGATAAAAAGAGAAGTAACAAAATGTAGCTTGCACTAAGTTGGTTGAAATTACATATTAACGCCAATTGAAGTGATAATACATTTATGTACCTACCTCATAAATACAACAAAAACGAAAAAAACTTAATATAAGATTTTAATTGTGTAAAACTGTGCTCGGTATTTGAGTGTTCCTTTAATTAAATTTTAAAAGGAGAACTCTATAGGAATGTCATAAGTAGACAGATATAAAAAGGAAAATTGTGAAAAATATTTTGAATATTCATCTATTAATATTTTTATGTAAGAGTATTATACAAAAAAATAATATATTATTAAACCTATTGCTAGTAAATCTTAACTAAGGAATGAAATATGCAGGGTGGAAAAGATCCAACTTTTTAAAAAATGTATGAATCAATACAATTTTTTCATAAAAAGTAGTATTTATATACATCTTTCATTCAACATACTTTTTTTTAAAATCAGACAATTTCCCTATATAGGGGGGGGTGAAATCTGAAAAATGCATATAGAAAGTCGTTCCGGAAAATTGTTCCGGAAAATCTGATATTTTTATATATATCTTAAATTAAAGCTAACGTAATATACTTTATTATGGAAAAAAAAACTTCGGACTTTATTTTGTCTTAACGGTGAAAATGGCTACCAAATGTTATTTTTGTGTAAAAATTCTCGATTTTTGTTTTTACATTTTTAATTTTATAATGCTATAAATTATTGAAAAGTGTATGGATCAACTGTAATGAATCAAAATAGAAGTTTAGAGGTTATTCGAGAAACTTCTTGAATAATCTTTACACATAAATAATTATCAATTTTAAATACTTTTCTGAACAACAATTATTTTATTACTTTTTACAAATACATCATTCATTTGGAGCGATGTTTGCATTAATGTCCATCTTTTTAATTACCATAAGCGTATCTGTGACGCCGAACAGACGGCAGGATTAAATAGTTAAATTTTTAAGAAAAACTAGTCTCCCTTCATCACATTACCAATTAGTTTAATATAAAAGGGCTAGTAAAATTAGCACATTCACTCACTCGTACACTCTCACTTTCATTCTCACTTATTATTCCCCCATACTCTTACACTTTCATATTAAAGATTAATAATGTAAAATTCACGTTACTTTTGTTAATTTTAATTATAAGACTTATATACATTTATTAAAATAATTAATAAAAATTATAGAAATAAACTCAGTATGTTGCCCCTCATACCAGTATTTTTATTTATTTAAATTAGCTTAAAATATCAACGTCAACAAGGAACATCACAATTCATCATCTACCTACGAGTCCAATTTGAATATCAAGGTAAGTGTAGTCATAAGACATGCACTATATTTATGTAATATTAAGAAATAGGACAGAGTGGGTAAGAGGTAGGATTTACATGATATGAATAAATCCAACACAACCCAAATAACTTATAACCCCTTTCCTACCATCTTCACCACATCTTTACTATCCCTCTCTTCCTCTTTCTATTTTCTTTTTATTACACAACACAATTTTTTTGAGATTTATGAGAAATAACATTTATATCCCTTTTTCATTTGACATACTTTATTTTCATCGTGATATTAATAAGGAAATAGCAGATCATGTAGCTTTTGGAATAATACACCAATTTTTTAAAATTAAACACTATCTAAAGATTTGTATCGTTGCGTTTTTTTTTTATAGTGATTTTAATCACTGTCAGATATCATTATACTTGATACAACTATGCCGCGACCCCCTGTGCTGGGTTTTTTATATTTTCTATGGTANATATATATCTTAAATTAAAGCTAACGTAATATACTTTATTATGGAAAAAAAAACTTCGGACTTTATTTTGTCTTAACGGTGAAAATGGCTACCAAATGTTATTTTTGTGTAAAAATTCTCGATTTTTGTTTTTACATTTTTAATTTTATAATGCTATAAATTATTGAAAAGTGTATGGATCAACTGTAATGAATCAAAATAGAAGTTTAGAGGTTATTCGAGAAACTTCTTGAATAATCTTTACACATAAATAATTATCAATTTTAAATACTTTTCTGAACAACAATTATTTTATTACTTTTTACAAATACATCATTCATTTGGAGCGATGTTTGCATTAATGTCCATCTTTTTAATTACCATAAGCGTATCTGTGACGCCGAACAGACGGCAGGATTAAATAGTTAAATTTTTAAGAAAAACTAGTCTCCCTTCATCACATTACCAATTAGTTTAATATAAAAGGGCTAGTAAAATTAGCACATTCACTCACTCGTACACTCTCACTTTCATTCTCACTTATTATTCCCCCATACTCTTACACTTTCATATTAAAGATTAATAATGTAAAATTCACGTTACTTTTGTTAATTTTAATTATAAGACTTATATACATTTATTAAAATAATTAATAAAAATTATAGAAATAAACTCAGTATGTTGCCCCTCATACCAGTATTTTTATTTATTTAAATTAGCTTAAAATATCAACGTCAACAAGGAACATCACAATTCATCATCTACCTACGAGTCCAATTTGAATATCAAGGTAAGTGTAGTCATAAGACATGCACTATATTTATGTAATATTAAGAAATAGGACAGAGTGGGTAAGAGGTAGGATTTACATGATATGAATAAATCCAACACAACCCAAATAACTTATAACCCNAAAGATTAATAATGTAAAATTCACGTTACTTTTGTTAATTTTAATTATAAGACTTATATACATTTATTAAAATAATTAATAAAAATTATAGAAATAAACTCAGTATGTTGCCCCTCATACCAGTATTTTTATTTATTTAAATTAGCTTAAAATATCAACGTCAACAAGGAACATCACAATTCATCATCTACCTACGAGTCCAATTTGAATATCAAGGTAAGTGTAGTCATAAGACATGCACTATATTTATGTAATATTAAGAAATAGGACAGAGTGGGTAAGAGGTAGGATTTACATGATATGAATAAATCCAACACAACCCAAATAACTTATAACCCCTTTCCTACCATCTTCACCACATCTTTACTATCCCTCTCTTCCCCTTTCTATTTTCTTTTTATTACACAACACAATTTTTTTGAGATTTATGAGAAATAACATTTATATCCCTTTTTCATTTGACATACTTTATTTTCATCGTGATATTAATAAGGAAATAGCAGATCATGTAGCTTTTGGAATAATACACCAATTTTTTAAAATTAAACACTATCTAAAGATTTGTATCGTTGCGTTTTTTTTTTATAGTGATTTTAATCACTGTCAGATATCATTATACTTGATACAACTATGCCGCGACCCCCTGTGCTGGGTTTTTTATATTTTCTATGGTACAAATGTAAGTCAATATTATGAAAATTACGGAAGTAAACACTTATTATGTTATTTTTCATTTTCCCTTTATTTAATAAAAATGCTTATCCATTTTAATCCATATAAACAATTAAAATCATTAATTTCTATTGTTTTTAATGTATGTATTGACGAATTAAGTTTGATAGGGATAATATATTTTAACTACAAAGTTAAATAATTTTACTAAGTTATTTATTAATTTTCCTATCCATCATTAACCTGTTTCTACCAGGGTTGGCTAAAGGTTTGTTATAATACATACACCACTCATTATTCAGTANAGGTTTTTATTATTATAATAGCTAGAGAATAACATTATACATCCATTTTTATGGTGAATACTATATTTTTAATATATGCTATTTAAAACTTGATTTAATATTAAAACTTGAACTCTTCTAATTACTTCGATATATTTTTATTAAAATTATATTAATATAACAAATCATCGTGACACAAATATATCTTAGAAAATAATAAACTTTAATGCCAACAGTACTAATGAAAATATTAGTTTTAAAGGAAAAAAAATGTATAATTTAGTTATAAAATTTTAAAGAATTAACAGAATCTTAATTTTTAAAGTAAAAATTATAAAAATACATGTTGAATTATTCAAAACAATTTAAGATAATTCTACCGGTGTCTTGATTTTCTCCATGTAAAATTAAATAGACTCAATAATCAACAAAATAATACGTATGTAAAAACTGACATTAATGTGCAGTTATACTTCTATGCCTCTTTAAATTTCCAAAACGTATGTAGGACTTGGAACAAACTTCGCACGTGAAAAGTTGTTTTTCTGTGTGAACTGCCGAGTGATCTTTTAGCTCTTTAACGTAAGTAAACATCTCAAAACAAACCTCACATTTGTATACATTTTTTTCCTTATTATGTACCGATCTATGTCTTTTAAGATCCGCTGCACGCGAATAACTTTTGTGGCAAATTTCACATTTATGATACTTTTCTCTCGTATGAACTTTTTCATGTAATTTTAAATGTCCGGTTTGTTTGAACCTCTGATGACACACTTGACATTCATGAGGTCGTCCTTCGTTGTGCATCCTCTTATGCAATTCCAAAGACGACACATGCTCGAACATTTTTGAACACTCCTCACATTTATACTGAAGCTCGTTTTCATTCTCACGTTTGGAAACTATAGTTTTTTCATTAACTGCTGTGTTATTTTTATCGATTTCGTTTGTAGTAGAAGAATTTGTATCTTCTGCATAATTTCTTATCAAATTAATACTTGAGTTTTCACTTGGATCTGATTGCACAAATATTCCACTTGCTAATGTTTGTATACCAATTCCTCGGGCTAATAATTGCTCTTTTAATTTTTTCAGTGATATAGTACTAACGCAAGGGGAATTTTCTTCTGAAGTATTTTTCTCATTGAATTTTTCATCATTATTTATTGATTGCCAGATTCCAAAGCTTCTTTCCAATGTCGATTCTGTAATGGTTTCAAACTCGTGAACTTTATCATTGATAACTTCTTCAATTACTTCATCAATTTTCACAGTTGTTTCAGCCTTGATAGTTGATTCTTCAATAATGGTTGAAAGTTCATTGTTACTAAAAGTACAGTAAATATATTAAATTTATAGTTGATAACACAATCTTATAGAATATGTGGTTATATAGTACTACCTTGGTTCGAAAAGAAAGAATAGGCTGGTGGTTAAAATATTAACACACCGAATAAAAATAGGGAGTTTAAAGATTATAAAGAGTATCATACGATTAGTAAAAAACACAATAAGTTTACGTACATAAATGCATAATGTGTAATTGATAATATGTTTAAAGAATTTTTGATATTTATAAAAAATATTATTCTGGTATAAATGAACTTAAATAAGCCAGGTCCTTATTTTTCAGTATTTTACAATACATAAAGAATAATACGAATTCGAATGTGCGTAGTACGAAATTCTTAATACATGTAGAGACTTATTACTCACTCAACACTTTAAACAAAATGTGTAACGAAAACATATTATCGTTAAAAAATAAGATTGAAAACATATTTTAGAGAAGTTAAGTCATCAACTTTTTCATTTTAAGGGGTTTAACATCAAAGACCTCCAATTTTCAATTAATTAGGCTACTACTAATATTTTCGATTTTATATTTTAGGAAAAAAAATATTTGATGTACTTACTTCAACTGATATTCATTTTTAACATACTGATGAGGTAAATTATTTTTGTTATTACGTTTTCTGTGACTCATTTTTAATATAAACATTTATTTAAGTATAGTAAGACAAAACTATTTATCGTGCAAGATTAAAGAAAAGAAAAGATAAAATGGTTATTAATAACATAGATCATTAATACACATCTATGGCATCATGGTAAAATTACATTATAACCTTTAATTTTATCAGCTGTTAATGTATTTTATATTTATTAGAATTTTACTATTTTAATGTATTAATTACAGCAACTAATATAAAGGCATACGCAGGCAAGCCCGTCTAGAACCAAAAATTATAGTAGGGAGGGGTTAAAAAAATTATTTTTATTGAGCGAATAATTGTCTGAAATAGCGTTACAATTGGGTAAAAAATATATCTTCTCAATTTAATCAATTTTTGATTTATTATTGTAATAAAATATTCTAGTTTATGCAAAGTCATATTTTTTAATTTATTTGACAACTTTACAAAACTGAATTAATTTTTTTAGTCATTTTTTTGTTGAAAACATTTTTTGATAAAAAAAAGATCATCAAAACTACAGTATTTATTCAAGATTATCTCATACCCTGGCATTCTTTTCCCTTTAAATATGTCACTACTGACATTTTAACCAATCAAAACGTTTTTTAATTGAGAACAAGATTTGATACTACTTTCACGACGTTATGGTTATAAAGAAGTTATTTGAAACATATTTTTACTATCGAAAAACTATTGGAATCGAAAAACAAATAATTAACAAAAACTGTATAATGATGACAATAATACATAACTTCAAGCGAAATAAAACAAAAATCAAAACATCAGACATAATTGAAAACAAAAACGGCAGCACAATAGAACATGACATAATTGACACAAATATAGATGATATTTGATAGTGATTAAAATTAATATCATAAGAAACGCATCGATCAAAATCTAAAGATAGTGTTTAATTGTAAGAAATTGATGGATTATAAATATAATATATGAATAAATACTAATAATAGTAATTACATTTTGCATGAAATTTATATTCAATAATTTAACATTGTAATTTTTACGGAAAAAATTATAAAATAATAGTATATTTTGTCAGTTCTATGACAAAAAGGTATAAATACTAAAGCGCTGATACAGTACTTTTCAAATAAAAAAAATTGTTTCTTACTTATGAATAAATTTACTGATCAAGGAATTTTCATCAGAGACTAAAATTTACTTTTCTAACCCCCTTTTTACACCGATTTCAAATTTGTCGTTAGATTTTTTCTATGGCATCTTTTTTAAGATTATTAATAATTACTCAAAAACATTTACATATGAAAAAATAATTTAAGACAAAAATAATTTTTTTTTTCACATTGTTATTGATTTTGAATATGTTAAAAATAATCAGTGTGAAATGTCATAGTAATATATCTTTTTGATCCTTTAAAGTTAATATTTATGAAAGTTTATAACAAAAAAGTTAAACTTTATGATGACTTTTTTTTAGCTCAACTTGCAAGTTTGCAAACATCAATTTTATAAACACATACACATAATGTTTTATTTAAAGAAACTGGATCTAGTAAGTGCCGAGAAAAAGTAGCGACAAACCAAAAAAAACAAATATAAAACATACAATAATACAATTAATAACTCCTCAGCTTCCCATCAAAGCTACTAAATTTCTTTTTAAAAATGTATACAATTTAAAGTTAAAATAAATATTTGCGTTAAAATAATTATAGGGGATACAGTTTACACTAATTTCTTAAAAATACTTTTAAAAAAGCTATTGTACAACAATTTCTTATTTTATTTTTTTAATTTTGCAACTTTTACATAAAAATCGTACTTTTTTTTTAACTTTAAGGTTTGTTTTTACGACGGAGTCAAGTCCAGAGGTATATAATGTATTTATAAGTAAATGTAAAAAAAGTTACCATACGTCAATATGATATTTTTAACACATGTTATTTTACACAATAATTAACATTTTTATCTCTACTTATCCAAATTTTCGTATTACATGCGTTAAAAAATTCAAATACATGTAAGTGAACATCCGAAAAATTTTTTTAAGAGTGTAATAATATAAATAGTGTGTAATTTTAAGAAATTGGTGGATTATTCAAAACCAAATTTTAAATCAAAAATAATTAAGGAAAAATTGCAAAAAAATCATTGCCACAGCAAACGTTCATCGTATTCGTTTTTTGATAAAATTGGCAATTTAAGCAAATTCAAATGTTAAAATTAATTTTTTCGACTCAAAAGAAAAATAAGATTGAAATGTGTTTAACTTTATATTCTATATCAATTAGTTTCATATAATATTCATGAAAATCAGTGTAACCCATTATAAGGTATATTAAAATAAATTAAAATACAATACCAAGAATTTAAACACAAAAATAGCACATTTTTGAAAGTGATAACCATGTTCACTATATCTCAAAAAATTTTTTTCATAGTATAGTATATTACATAAGCTTTAATTTAAAATTAAATAAAAGTGCCAATATTTCCAGAAAATGTTCAAAAATTGAGTTGAAAAAGTTTAACTTGTGTGTAAAAATTGTTATTTTAAATCCCTCCTGTGGTCAGGTCAAAAGTCAGATTTTCGAAAAATGTATATCAAATGAAAGAAGTAAACATAAAATATTTATGAAAAAATAATTGTATTGAACCATTCATTTTTCAAATAGTTATAGTAATTTAAAGTTGAAAAAATAAAATATGAAATCGTAAATTTAAACACCAAAATTACATGTTTTTAATCTACGACAACCATTTTCACATAGAAGATAAATCTTCGGGACAAATTTTTTTTTTGGCCTTATAGTACATAACATTAGCTTTATTTTAGTATATGTTTGAAGCTCGGAGTATTTCCGGAACATTTTCAAAAGATTAGTTGAAAAAGATCTATGTTTTTTACAATATTTCAAGTTTTGAACGCCCCCTATATAAGGGGAAATTGTCCAATTTTAATAAAAAGTATGTCAAATCAAAGATGTACTTATAATGTATTTAGAAAAAAAAATTTGTGCTGATATATACATTTTTTGAAAAGTGAAATATTAAAATAAGTGAAAAATTAAAATTTTTGTGCAGAAGTTACTATTTTGAATCCCTTTGTGGGCAGATAAAGGGTCATATTTTCAAAAAAATTCTATCAAATGAATGAAAAATATCTATGGTTTCAATATAAAAAATAATTATTTTGATTCGTTCATTTTTCAATAAGTTATTGCAATTTTTAGAAGAAAAAAAATGTCAAAATTTACCGATTTTAAAAATTATATTTTTTTAGGGATTTTTACTATTTACGGGGAACGAGGTCAAAATTTTCAATTTTTGATGGTAATGTTTCAACTAGATACGATTTGTGATCTTTTGACGTATCGTTGAAAGAAATTGGTTCGGTGAGAGTTGAGAAAAAGTAGTGACAGACACAAAAAGAAAAAAAAGAAACACAAAGTAAAATTAATACCTTTGCAGCTTCACATCGAAGCTAAAAATCATTTGGTCAAATGACGATAAATGCTTTAGGGTCAAAAAATTAAGGAACACCTCATGTAATCGCATGGGGTGTACAAAAACAAATTATTATATTACCTATTAATGAAAATAGTATGTAATCACAATTAAAATGTTGTATTAACAAAGCATATGATACATGCAGATTGTATGCAAAGGTATTTAGTCAAATGGTCCATTGAAATTATTAATTTAAAAAAAAAATGTGCACTACCCTAAACAGAGTATGGAATTACTCAACTTTTTGAAAATGGATTAGGCTGTTGCTATAAACTCATGGATAGGTGACGATATAGCGATAAAAAGTATCTTGTCCCCAGTACAGATGACGACGGAAAGTCATTGTACTTAACTCTTTCATTTATATACACCAGTTCGACTTAAATTAGCTGATGTCAAACCAATATTTTAATAGCCAGAAGATAAATGATGCACCATCTTTGTTTTTTGCTAATTCAATTTGAAAAAATAAAGACAAATTCTTTCGATAAGCAAAATAAAAAGGTCATTAGGTGCGGCAAAATTGAGTACTCCGGGTGACACAATTCTTAAATGCAGCCCTGCAGACAATAAAATAAATCAAAAAACGTACATAAAATATCTATGGCAACTTAAATTTGTAATATTCATTCGTGTATGGTACGAAGTTATGTGTAGTATAATTAAAAAATAATACTGCAAAGAACTTAAAAGGTAATGAAGTTGTGTATATAAGATATGAATTCGAAAGCAAACGATTCCCTCGGTCCAGACCCGGCGGACACCGTAAACTCTACCGATATTTTTTTGAATGATAAAACTACATTGAAAAACTCAACCGCAGCAGCTGCTGTACTCAATCGCAATATTTTAAAAAATGTCACTAGCTACGGATTCCCGTCATATTATCCAGGAAAAGCCCGCGACTTGTTCGAAAGCTGCGAAAACGTGATGCCGTTGAACTTCGACGGAATTAAGGCGCTTTCTCTTAACAAATTACGACCAAAATATGGCGATTACGAGATATTGTACGCTCATACTTTCAACGTAAGCTCAATTAAGCCCGGTGCTTACAACTTTTCGGCACTCCTAAAGAATAACAGATGCGAAAATGTTAGTAAATCGGTTACATTAGATTTGGATCCAGTTAACGGCAATTGGAACGCTGAGGTCGGGTGTACAAGCCGACTTGTCGATAGTCTGGCTAATTTGCAAGTCCACAAGTGGAGAAAACCAATTGTGTCTCGAGTATATGTTGACTACAAGAAACCTAACTACACAATAACAGGATATCTCGACCCGATTAAAAAATTTGCCGGATATCAGCATATGGTAGTAAGTGAACGAAAATGTTTCTAAGATAGATAAATAATTGTAACTATATGAAGCTAAACTGATAATTTTATTGGAAAAATTACCTCATTAAAAGTAGTTATGAAGTTAATCTGTAAAAGATATAACTTTTATAATATTTATAAAGCGGAACAGATTTAACTAACAACTTATAACTTTTGATATGATTAAAATTTCGTTGACATTTTTTGAATTCTTAGACTGCGTTATATGCATATTTTTAATAACAAAAGTACAATATTATTTTTATTATTATACTTTTAAAGTAGTCTCAGAATGTAAAAATTGTTTTATAAAAAATTATAACACTACAGGAGCCCTTAACTAAATTTTTACTCCTCAATAAGTCTTGATACAACCCTTGCTAAAATAACCCTTAATTTCTATTAGGAACAATATATTTTCAATAATTCAATGTGCAGGTAAAAAGCTTCGAACGTTTTAAAATCAATTTTTTTGTTGCTGCTATATGAAAACAGTTATTTTTTTCAACAGGCTATTACAGACCGGACGACACTAGGCGGAGACATTAAGGTGAAGTACAAATTGCAGAAAGAAAGTGATAGTTTTAATAATAGTTATTTTAAAAATATCAAGTCTCGAATTCTGTTCAAGTATTCAGGACCCAATTACTTATGGAGTGCTCGAGCTAATATTTTGTCGCCAGCTTTAAAAGTTTGTTACTACCAACATGTTAGTTCAATATTTCAAACCGGTGTTACTTTAAATATGAATGTACCAAAACGTAAAGGGGTAACCAAAGTGGGATTACGGGCATTGATAAAGGATGACTGCTTAGCAAAAGTGGCAATTTCTTCAGAGGGTGTTGTTACCTGTCAATTAGAAAAAAGTGTCACTGACATTCTATCTCTATCGTTTAGTGGTCTATTAAATCATAAATCTAATTCTTTTGCAATTGGTGTAGGTTTATCAATGGAATAATGAATTACTCAAGTTTTTTGTTTTACAATTGTTGAATATTTATGTTAATTTAATATTAAGAGTAAATATGTAACAAATAATTTTAATTTGCGCATTATTTATAGTTACTTTAATTATAAATTACATGTTTTAATAATATATTTTTGGAATTGGTAATGTAAAAATATATATTTATATGTATTCCGAAACTGAATTATTATATAAAACATGTAACAACTAAACAATAATGATAAAATCAATAGTTAATAAATAATAATTCAATCATTAAATAACTTATATAAGTATGTAAGAAAAAATTAATATTAACTATGATATAGAACAATCAATATTGGATTTCAATGATGGTTCCAACAAAGACGCAATTGCTCTAATTATATAAGACATTGTCCCATAACTTCCACTGGGGGCACTATCATAAAAATGTTGACAGATATAAGCTGCACCGCCACATAATAAAGTACCAGTGCTAGTCAATTCTTTTGGAAATTTTGCACAACATAATGTAGCATCCCCATCAATGTTCATCTTGAGCAAAAAAAAAATTATTCATGCAATCGCAATTAATACATTATTTTTAGGACTGAGCATAAAAACTGAAATTTTATATCAAGCAATATTTGTACAATTTATAAATGGTAATGAAAAAGGGGTTATACAATTTTTTTCTTATTTCATTAATTCACAAAATAAATCTCATTCAACGCATTCAATTGTGCTCGTGGGATTATAGAGCTTCTTACACCCTAATTTTTTCAAATTTGAAGACAATATTTAAAAAAGGGGATACTTGTTGTTTTTTAATCAGTTCAAAGTTATAAATAAATTGTCAATATTATATAATATAAATACATCTGTTTATTATATACCAGCTCAGGCCTAATTTTATTCTATAAGTATAAAATATACTTGATCTTGAAGAAACAAATCATTTGCTCTATGAACAAATTCTTCAACCGTTATTATTCCACGTGACTTGGGTGAAATTTCATGTTCTGCGTACAATGTAAAAATCATCAAAGTTTCCACAATTAATTGTCGGTATTCTGGATATGGAATCCAATTGAGAACAGTTTCTACAGCCAGGGCAAATTTTAACTCACCAGATGTCATCTATAAAAAAAAAACAAAATTGTTTATCAACAAAATTAAAATATATTAAAAAAATGTTATTTACTTCCTGAGTTAAATTTTGAGCAAGTAATTTTCCATCGATTGCTATTCCATTACACTAATAAAAAAATTATCACAATTTAAATTGACCAAAAAAAAAAAGGATGACAAGATACATAATATATACTAAACACAAAAAAAAAATTACTTTTTCTAGTATTGTCCAAACACGTTTATAAAATTCTCCTGGAACTCTATTCAATGCTCCATCTAATCTTCTTCTACGCAACCATTGCCCTTGTCTATCACCTTCAAGCTCATCTTTGATGGGTTCTGATTTATCCACTAATAATAAACCTTCTATTGTACTTTTCTAAAAGTATTAATAGTATTTTTTCAATGAGTAAAATATTATAGTATAAATAGTACCAACTAAATATTTTAAAATTCATTAACACAAACCTTGCTTACATGACTTGATTTATAACTAATAACTGAAAAATTTCCACGACCAACTACAAAATTAAAGAAGTGTTACACAAATTTTTTATTATTTTATTAAGATTTTTTAATACCACTGCTTAGTATAAATTCTTTTCCACTCATAATATGATGTAAAAGATTTTTCATTTCAAATGGAGATAAATTAAACAAATGTTCTGATCCTTCCTCGCCGGAGCATATCAGTGTACGAGACAACTCACCAGCCATCACCTGAATTATCAATCCTACGCGGAGTCTAAGCATTTCAGAAAATAGTTGAGGCTCAGTTCGTACAAACATGGCTAAATAAACCAATAGTTCCTAGATAACATACATTTTTAATATTGTATTTAAATATGATTAAATATCATAAGAAAATTCTTTCTTATACTTGAGTTAACATAGCTGTACTCTCATCATCTCCATATGCATCATGAATAACTTGTCGTAGTTCGTTTTCAGGCAAAGGAGTAGATATTGTGTGCTCATTGAATGGAGGCATGCCAATAGTTACCTGTAAATATGTTCATTAAATAAATTTAATACAAATAATATCAAAATATTTCAACTATTCAATTACTTGTTTTTGACGAACTAATAAATCTGTGAGAGCTTTGGCAAGATCTTCAACTCTTTTTCCTAACATTCCAGCTGTATGTCGAACTAGACCCCACAAATTTTGTTGGCATGCTTTTTCATAAAGAATTTTCAATAAATCTTTTACTAACACTGGTTTATCATCTTCTTTTAAACCTGTCATAATTTTATAAAAAATATAATAATAAATATTCAATACAATTTTACATTAAATTATTACCTGTATCATACTCCAAACCATATGTATCTACTAAGTACTGTAATATATCACCTTTTTCTTCGAGTAAATCAGAGTCACTTAACATAGCTAAAACACTATCCAATTCTGCTTCAGCATATAAGAGCTCAGAACTGCCTCTAAAAAGTTAATTTTAAGAAGACAGTATAAATGAAATTTAGAAAAACTAAATTTATTTTCTGAATAATTAAAAATATTAATTAAAATTGTAAAAATTTACTAAAACTAAATTATGATGAAAATTCAGAAATAAAAGAAAATTTTAATTTAATTATACTGTGGAACCTCAATTATCAAGAGTAATGATGATAAAGGGGTCACAGGGATAAATTAAAACTACAGTTGATTGAGGCGTATAATTTATATAACGTTATATTATAATGTTGAATATGTACATATGTGTGTATATTATACATAAAGTTATCAGCAGTTGAAAAATAAAATTTTTTCGTAACCTAATAAAATTTATATTTATAAAACACTCTACACATTATTATAACGCACCAATATCTTTACTTAAAACACATATAAATTTTCATAAATGTGAGCACGGTTAATTATGAACACGGATAATCGAGGTTTTATTGTATTTTATTTAAAGAGCAAAATAAAACCTAATATCTAGTAATAACAATTATTTATAATTTTTATAACCCAGTAATTACACAGAAGAACAAAAAAATGTCTGCGGTTTTCAATATTTTGATGAATCCTCTATAGAATTTTGCTGCTGATTCAAAAACTGGTTTTAGATTTTTATAATCACATCTAGTTTCTAAGATGATTACAAATTAGTAATTAAACAATAAATACACAATTCAAAATGTATAAAAAATATATAAATACAATTTTATTTCTTGAAACTCAAATTTATTTTCATCATGTTACATAAGAGTTATGGTAAATTTGAGATTGTTACAAGTTTAAACTGTTTTTTTTTTTTTTTTTTTGGAGGGAAGTGTATAAATTTGATTATAGCTGTAACTTTTTTTTAGTTAAACTCTGTTATGAATTTATAAACATTAAATAGACAATTTTACTACTATTTTAAAAATATTATTTTTTGTCTTAATACACAATCAAAAATAAACATAATTGCTACTGATTGAAAGCATCAGTTATATTTAAATTAAGTATATCTAAATTTGACAAATTTACATATCATTTTACATTAAATATAGAGGTGTAATTAGATTTTATTTATTTTCATTTTTTTAATTTAACTAATCACAAAATAAGAATTAAATAATAATATTCATAATTGTTTATGAAAGTTTAATTGTGTAATTATTAGTGATTAGCATTTTCAAATATTTTAAACTATTGATTAACTATTCAAATTGTGTTTATACAACCGAATAGTTTATTTTTAGCATAAACTAACAAATAGTTTTTGAATGACTATCGAATAGTTTGAATAGTGGACAACTATCAAATAGTTCAATAGTTACTATTTGATATTTCCCATCACTAGTAATTATAGCTTAATTACTAATTTATAACAATTTCAAAAACTAGATAAAATCTGAAATCAGATTTGGAATCAAACGCAAAATTTTATATAGAGAGGATTCATCTAAATATTGTAAGCCATTGAATTTTTTTTCGTCAATTATTATTATTCTACAATAAGAAGCAAAACTTCTCAGATTTTGTATTTATTTAATTTTTTTATGTAATATTTAACTTTTAAATATATATCTACTTTTAAGATATTTAAATTTTAATTATAGATTTGAAAAAAAAATTTAACTCAATAACAACTCAATTAGACTTTATTTAAATATAATTTTAAATACCGCTAATTTTAACAAATTTAATTATATTTTTTAAAAAATTTTTATCTTAAAAGCAATGGTGTAATGATTTAGTTTTTGAAGTCAAGCCAAACAATATAAGAAATGTTCCAAAATTGAATTCAATTTAAATAATCAATTAAATCAAATTCAAAATTGTTCTTGCTAAATAAAAAATTATACTAATCATTATCAAAAGTATATATCGATTACTTGAAACGGTTGTGGAGTCTATGATGTTCTCTTTTAGTATTAACAACAGGCTTTTTTTCTGGTGTTGGACTTCTTTTATCTAATAATTTTGAAGCAATTTGTGTTTCTGTTACTTGAACACGACGTTCTTCAGCTATAACAAAAATGTTTTTTTATAAACATTATAAGATTGTTTTTAAAAAAGTCTCACCATCAAGCATGAAGGACCTAGTTTTTTTAATAGCTCCTTTGACAGACATTTTTCTTTTAATTTTAGGATTATTTCTTGGCTTACGAGTTAACAGTGTAGATTGATTTGAAAGATTCTTTATTATATGTTGATCCAAATATTGTTCAACTTGGGTGTTAAGTTCTAAAAAGGTTATATTATAAAATAAACTCTATAATAAAAACAATGGTAAAAACTAACTATTAGGCATTCCCAGTTCTTGGCTTCCTAAGAAACTCAAATTGGTAATACAAGATGTACTTAAAAAATCATTGAGGTTTCCTAATGTTACTCTAAAAAATACAAATATTATAACATGACACACCATAATATTTACAATATTATTATATTATATATAGTTAAGACTACCTAGTTCCATTAATGTAACCACTTTTCAACTTTTTAATTGTTGTAATCATAGGTAACTGTATCTTTCCTTGATCTAAAAATAAATTTTATCAATAAAACTTTATATATTACTAATTAACTGAAAATTAAATTTAATATTCTTGTATTATGTTAAAAATTAGAAAAAACAAATCATACAAATTCAAAAATAATTACAACATAATTACTAAATTTGGAAAGTTGGAACCTATACTAAGAATAAATAATGATTTAATATTTTAGCGAAATTTTTCTGTATTATGATAAGTGTAATAGTTTGTCTTACCTACAAAATTAGAAGAAGCTATAATAGTATAAGTTGGGCGACCTAACATATGTTTCCAACTCATTGTCAAAAAAGCTATATCCATCATTATATTGTTTGCTAACAACTCAATATCATTTCCCACATAATATTGATCCAAATCAAGTGTCTACTGGAAAATATACCTATTGCTATAATTTTAGGGAAATTATTTATTTGAACAAAAAAAAAAATTAAAAGTTTATTAATCTGTATATATTAGTGCAAATTTTTACAAAAATATATTATTTTCCTTTAGTTTTGTTGTACTAGATTATTGATTTTTCATTTTTTATTATTAAGAATATATATATTTTTTTATTAATATATATATTTTATTCATATATATACTGTAAATAGTTAACTTTTAACCAACTTTTAGTTAAACTTATCATTTTTAAAGAATAAACATAGTTTAAACAGTTTAAATTAATTATGCCATTTTAAAGTACTTATCTACAATAAATAAAATATTATCTAAAATCATTTATTTCAATATAAAGCCTTTGAATATTTTGAATAAAAACCACGGTTTGGTTAAATAATAACATAATTAATCAAGAGGAAAACTGTTTAATATTATAAAAGAATAAAAAATTTTATTAAAAATATTATGAACACACTTCATAAGTATACAGAACTTGTCATTCAAATAAAATACACTATTTTGCAACTACTGTGTTATTTAAATTAATGCATAAAATCAATTTAAAATTTTGTTACTAGTAATGTTAATAGATTACAATAATTTTAACCAATAAAACAACCAAAACTATATCACTCTTTAAGTAGAAACATATAAACAATATTTTTTTAAATAGATACCAAGATTTAACTTTTTAAGTATGATGACTACAGTTGGACGGCCTAGTATATTGTGCCAGTTGGATTTTAAAAAATTTATTTCATTTTTAAATAAGTCAATCATTAAATTGTTATCTGATGCTATATAGTAACGATGACGATCTGTAATCTACATAAAAATAATATGCTATCATTATCTAAATATATACTTTTATAAGTAATTAATAAAGAATTAATTGCCTAATAAATTATTTATGTATGTGTTTCAAGAAAATAACAAATCAGTTATAAGGCACTTAGAATTTAAGGTAAACAGTAACATTTTTTTAAAAATAATGTTAACTATACAGTTGGATTGAAGATTAAGTTTTTTAGTAAAATATTAAATTTTACAAGTTATTAAGTAAAAAACACATGAAAACTTCAGGCTTCAACATTTTGAAATTTAAAAAATGGCACTTATTCTGATAAATTCTAGGTGCCTTAATATATAACACAAAATAATTTATTTGAGTAGATTTTTTTCCCAGGGTTGATACAACTTTCTATAAACATATTGTTTTAAACATAAATAATAACATTAAATTATTTTAAATCCTATTTAAAAAAGAAGAATTTTTTAAATTTGTTAATTGAAAAAGTTTGTGTTTTAAAGTAGAAATATATTTCTAATATATTCTCTATGCATTCTACAAAATTATTTTATTTTATGGAATAATAAAGTTATAAACAATTTTACCACAAAATTATAATATCATCATAATTACTATAGACCAATTAATACAAATCATCAATATACAACAAAAAATTTAAAAATTTTATTTAGGTGAAAAATGTAGAATATAAGAAGATGGGTCATACATGAATAGTTTATAAATATATATGAATAGATTATTGATTGAAAATGAAAATTAAGCTAATACTGAGTGATAGGTTTATCATAAGCCATTTGATTACTGACAAAATAAATACAATATTGAAAAAAAAATATTTGGCTTTTTTAGTTATACATATTTTTTGAATTATCAATTATTAACACTTTTGATTTTATTCCTTGTAGGTTATAAGGGTATCAACTTTATTTTTTCAAACATACATATTTAACTAGCTTATAAATTAAAAAATTATCTAATTAAGAAAATTATCGGTTTATAACAACTTTTGGACCAGTACTACAGAAGTTTTTCTCATTTATATACCTAGGCGGCAGATGTAAGAGTAGAGCCGGCAAATGTTTAATGATAAAAATAGCAGCAACTGCACTTTACCCACAGCCACCACTATAAAATATTATCAACTTCCCAAATACTGGACCATATGCTATTATTGACCTATCTTTTTCTTAATTGGATTATTTTCTCTTTTATAAGTTAATTAAATATGCCATTTGAAAAAATAAAATTAACTCTCCTATATGTTATGACAGATGATTCTAAAAAGTAATTAATAATTTACAAATAAATAAATATAATTAAGTAAATTAAAACCATTTTTTTTTTCGATATTGTATTTATTTTGAGAGTAATCAAGTGATTATAATAAACCAATCATCCTGCATATTAAAGTGCACTTTAATGTGGATTAATATAATTAATACATAAATTCATGATACAAAATTTTAGTATAGATTAATTGTTTAATTAAAAATAAAAATTTTTTGGTTTGAAAAACTTAGTAGCTGTTTAAATATTTTTTTTAAATGGTTTTTTAAAAATTTTAATAAAATAAAAGTAACATGTTAAAATGTTAAAAAAAAAACATAAATTTTATCATTTTAAATGTAGGGTATAGTTATTCAACCAATATCTATTTATATAAATAAATTTTAAAATTTAGAATTGAAGAAAAATCATGGCAGTTGATTTCACATATTGAAATGTTTAAATCATATTTTTTGGGCAAAAGGTTTTCCTTTTAGATACCTTGTGATCAAAATCAATCTACAACTTAATAGCTTTTCAAATAACTTAGTAGAATAGTTAAAAAATAATAATTAATTAAAACAACTCCTACCTGTGGTGTAAATGCAAATATACGATCATGTAAAGCATATAATTTACTGGTACTAAGAATACCTACATCATGTGATTTACGACCAGATAATCCAAGTTTTTCATTACGACCTAAAACCAGAAATCAATACTACCTTTAAATATTTATTGTAATTTATAAAATATAAATTTATTTTTTTTATTAAATAAAAAATTTTTTGTACTACTATACAATGTGAAAAAAATCTTACCTAAGTAAGTGTATAAATGACTAAGTACAGTTGATGGTTGAACTTCAATAGGAGATACATCAGAAATTGTTTGAACAGCTAAATCATGCTGTAACAATAAATCACGGATAGAGTTATCTTCAGCTAAAACTACAACCTGGACCACAACATCGGGTTTTTTTTCTAAACATAATCTTCTATTTAGTGGGTCCAGCTCACCAACAGCTAAAAAATTCTAAAACAATATAGATTTATTCAATAAAATTAATATTGTTAAAAACGCATTTAAAAAGAATACATCTTGCAGCAATTTTCCTAACATATATAAGGACTGTGCCCATAAAAAAGGACATCTTCCAAGAGCTATCCTTTTTTGACTTCCTGGATTTTCAAATTCTGCAAGTATGTTCTCATTTTCTAATGCATAAAGTTCTGGTACCAATTTTATATTATCATCAGATGAAATCATAACCTAATAAATCATATTTTTATAAATACCAATAGCATTAAAATTTAGAATTTCTTACAGAAGCATACCTTTTCTAAAGCATCAACATAAAAGTTAGCTGTTTCCATATCATTTTGAAAACAATAATCTAATATTAAATAACAAAAAAAAAGTGGCCATTCACATTCAATTCTTTCAAACATTTTCAGTTCGTGGAGATCATAGTGAAGTCTGTTAGGGTCCTATAGTTTTTTTTTTGAACATAAGCTACATTTTATTAAATAATTTTAATTTATAATATAAAAATGTATGTGTTTACCTCACGGGGAGTTTTGTGGCCATCCCTTAAAAACCTTTTACAACCATATTTACCCATAAGTTTAGTAACAATTTCATTTCTTGTTAGCTGAATAAGTTGTGGATCATCAACAGAAAATGCTGGAAAACTGATGACAGAGAGTAAACTACTATCTAACTCTTTTGAGTTAGATTCTCTTGGTAACATTGACTAAAAATTAAAAACTAAAATTACTTTTTATATAAACACTAAATTACCTAAAACCTTATGCAAAAAATATAAAATAAATATTAGAATTAAAATACCTAATAACTAACTTGTAAAACTGCTTGACATTTTTGTGCTTCATCAGACAATATATGTATGACAGAAGAAGGACCTCCTCTGGCTCCAAATAAATCAAGATCATTCATAGCTTCTAAGGCTGCTTTAGCCATACCAATACTACTTGCATTTAATTCAGGAAGCCCATGATTTGATTTATCACCACGCTCCCATATACCATAATCCTATAATACAAACAAAATTACTAAGGATTGTTGGGTTGATCTTTAATACTCATTAATATACAGAGTGAGTCATGAAAATATGACAAATCCAATAACTTTTGATCAAATATTTATTTTTGTATTTTAGACTACTTTAAAGAAATTAAAAAACGGCCATTTTTTAGCTTTTTTCTTACAGAAAACTTGATGTGTTAATAACAACTTTAAACTAATTATTTATTGACTGCAAGCATTTTAAAGCAGAGAGTGGATATTTAGTTCGGATTAGTACTTATTCTAAAGTTGTTATTGACTCATCAAAATTTTCTGTAAGAAAAGAGCTAAAATACTGCTACTTTAAAATTTCAAAAAAAAAATAAATAAAAGTTTAATTCAATTTTTTTTCTTACGGGAAATAAATAATAATAAATTTGCTTATAACAGTCTTATATGTAAAAATTGTTTAAAAAAATATTACAGCTAAATGATTATTGAATTTGTTATACCTTTGTGACTTACATGTATAATACGAGTTTTTGATAATTTTTATATTTAAACATACAGGCACACAGTATGCACTCTCAATGTAAAAAACTAAATTTTGTATGAACGAAACTTCATCCAAGTTAAATACAATCTGGAGACCTATATTGGTATACAATATTATCAGATAAAAATTAGTAAAGAATATATACATATATATAATACATTTACATAAAGCTATGTAGGGGATATATTATATCCCCTATATAGCTTAATTGAGAAAACAATTCATTTAACAATACATAGGTTCTAGGGGTTGATTCTATTTATAGGTTTTCTTGACCCTTTGTCGTAAGAAAGAAAGACAACTGTCTTTATTTCTTAATCAATTAATCAAAAAATTAATAATAATAAATAATTTTACCCGATGCTGTCATTTGGGCTAAAATTAATAAGTATAAGGAAACAGCATCAATTTGCAAGTGTCCCCAATCATTATCTCCAACAACAGTTTGTCCTGTTACTGAACTATACTTGGCATGTAAAGAATGTAAAGGGTTCTGAGATACTTTAAATTCTTCAACTTTTTCTTTTTGTTGCATCATAGCCATTAATAATCCACGCATTAATTTCACACAACTCTAAAAAAAAATTAATAGAATTGTTTGAAACATAATGTAAACAATAAGGGTACATTATTATTATACCTTATAATAAAAACGACTTTTAAACTAAAATACAATAAGACTTCTTGTACCTAGATCTCAATTGAAGATGTAGGTACAAAATATTGGCAGCTTTATTTTATTTCTCTATTCATAGGAGCCCTTTATATTTATTATTTTGTATAAATAAGGTTCTTCTGTAGTTAAGTTAATATTTAATTTAATTACAAATACCTGTTCAAGCTCATAAGTTTTTGCTCGGTCTTCATCCATGTCAGCCATTTTTTTACAAGCCATTGATAATCCCCAGACAGCTAAAACTGTATAAACATTATCACGAATCCATGCATCTGAATTTGTAGGACTAGCAGGAAATAAACCGGTTACAGGATTCTAAAACATAAAATAAAATAATAGTTTAAAATATCATAAACATTTAAGAGTTATTACTGAGAACTTATAGCATATTATTGAATAAATTTGAATAATATTGATGTGAAAATGTATTTTATGATCTAAAAATACATTTTGAATAGAATAATAAGTTTCTTCCAATTAACCTTTCTTACAAACAAGCATTTTAAAAGGTACAATAAAATCAGATTTTTTCTAAAGATAATTTAAATTTTAAAACAAATATTTTTAGTGAAAGAGAATTGTAAATAAATTACTATATATAGGGTATTTTATATCAGATACTGAAACTAGAAATTTTATGGAACAAATATTTTTAAAAGAGTCTAATTATTTAGCTTAAGTATGAATAAATTTATATAAAAGCCTATACATTTCAATTAGAATATTAATGAATACACTTAGTAATCATAAAATTGATTAGGAACTCCTCAAAATATATATTTAATTAAAAATTATATTCTCAAAAATAAGGGAAATTACTTGATGGCATAATATAATGTTTTGTACGACTTTATGATAGTAATCCAAACGAGTGCTAGCATCACTTCTTTTCCTCATCTTAGACATTTTGATAGAAACAATACGAGACAATTTAATTGAAAATTGATTGATGTTAATTCAGCGGAGTTCGTATTATTCGTCTTGAGTAAATTATCGTTCCAAAGTTTTTAAAATATTAAGCTTCAGAATTAAATAACAATTTATTTAATAAATCAAATGTGTACATCAATAAGTGTTAAGTATTTATATTCATGACATTAGAACAATTCTAAATACTACTTAAATGTTTCAAACTATACATAAGCAAATACATCTATTTATATTTTTTTTTCTCGTGCACAGAATTATTCGTTTTTCTTCTCCCTCTGCCAGTAGCAACGAAAGTAGTGTGACGACACTACAGATTATTTTTTTTTTATCACATTAACGGGCAAGACTCCAAAAACATTACAATCTCACGTGCACAGCTAATTGTGAACATGTGTTGAGCTTGCCTATTAAATTTTTCGTAATCTGCAGCCTATATAATGTAAAATATTAGTTACTAAATGCTACTACCCCTTCTCATGCAATATTTATTCGTGATTCATACACGGTTGAACATTTATCGAGTCTATATTATCATAACCTACAGTTGATTATTTAGTATGTTAGTGTAGTTAATGGAATTGTTCTCTGTTGACTGGCTAATGACCAGAAACAATGTTTGCTATTTACAACTCATAGTTCTCTAAGTGATACGCATACGATTTTTAGCATTAATATATTTACACTGTATGTAATCTACACAGAGTGAAACAAATCTAACTGATAAGTGCTTTAACTTTTGAAACAATTAATATTTCGCTATACATTTTTTTTAATAATTTATATATTCTTAGACCACGTTAAAATCATGTTTTCTATTATTTGTTTTCAATGATTAAGAAATTATTTTTTATTTTTACAATATAGCCGTTGTTAAGATATTATGTAACAATTTTAATACATCCTATTTTAGGACAAGGAATTGTTGAGTTAGCAACATTTTAATACATAGACTGGTTACGTAGCTCAAATTGGTAGAGTTTGTATAAGTGTATAATTATAACGCATAATACACCCGAGTACAACACACTATGTCTTAAAATGCTTGTAACTCAATAATTACTCGTCCTAAAATAGTTATTGATCCATTAAAATTTTTTATAGGAAAATATCTAATATACGGCTATTTTAAAATGTTGAGCGAGTAAGAAAGTTTTATTTATTTTTATCATTAAATATAAATAATAAAAATGGTTTTAACGTAGTGTAAAAATGCATTAATTATTAAAAAATAAATACAGCGAAATATTATTTCAAATATTATAGGCTTTATCAGTTAGATTTGTTTCACTCTGTATACTATATTGGTAGGAATTATGGTAAGAGTCTTAAAATAGTTTTTTACATAACACAAGTGTTTTCATAGAATTTCTCTAACATGAAACAATTGTTAAAATTGTTTGACAAAAAATAAGATCTCTTATTGACTTTATATTTATATAAAGTATTCAAAAAGTAAGAAAACGGGTCTATTGTTACATACAATAAGAACAACAGAAACCTATACCTTACCTATTGAAAACTTTATGTGTATATTTATTTAACAATTGAAGGAATGTCTTAAAACCAAAAACTTCCAATATTTTTCTAAAAATGGATGCTTAAATTGGTTTATAATTGGTTATGATGCAAAACTTATCGACTGATTCTCAAAAACTCAACTTTGTAAAATAACACTTATACTCGATTTATCTTCTTTAGCAACAGGAAAATCAATAACATTAGAGGCCGCAAAACAATAAATACCTAAATACGATAACATAATTAAATCAACAAAATATTTAGAACATATTATATGTTTTAATTATTATTTCTTTTGCGACATGAGGATTACATAATAATCATAGGTAATAATTTTTTTTGTTAATTAATATCTTATCTATGGCAGTCAAATATTGGGCGATAAGAAAGGTATATCTTCTATGATGTTATTTTATTAATATTAATTAATTTGAGAGAAATAGCACATAAGATGTTTCATCTAATCAGTCACTGTGATAAGTGAAATATTAACCTTATCCCTACTATAATAATAAAAAAAATATACGAACGCTACTAACATATAACAAGATATAAATGATAAACCTTTTACATTAAAAGATAAATATAGAGGCTATTTTACCAACATAATTTTGAATCAGTATTAGATTTTTTGAAAAATTAGCAAGATTTTCAATTTGCAGCAACTAGTTAGTGAATTATTGACAAAACTAAAAGGTTTAACAACTATTATGGTTATGAATTCATAAGTTCTGAAAAGCATAATATATTATTTCCTGATTTATCAAGTAATATAATTAAACTTTGATACTTGATCGACATTATTTAAATATTTTGTTTACTGATATTATATTTTAAATAAAAAAGTAGATAATGATTTCTGAATAAAAAATATTTTTATAATTATTATACAATATGTATTTGTTTAATAATGATAATTAATTAAAATAATTAATAATAATAA